TATGTTATTGCTTCAGATACTATTTCAGCATTCGTCTCCACCCAAATACCATTGGAATTTTTGATACGGTGTATCCTTCCTTGAGCTCGTCTCTGCTTAACAACCGCATGAAAATACCTTGAATTACGATCTCCCTTTGCAAGCCATTTTATTCTGGCCTTTTGGCTCCAGAATTGTTCTTCAATTGATAGTGCATGACGTAATTCCGCCTGAGCCTTGCTAAGCTGAACATGAAATTCCTCGGAGGCATTTTGATCCACAACTTGTTCTGCCCGTTGGACTGCCAATTCCGCAGATCGCACAGCATCAAATATATTTCCAAAATGTTGTTTATTCCATACTTGAATAGCCCTCCTCGTTGCCAATAATTTGGAGCATAGTACACGTAATGGAGAACCAACCACATCTTGATTCCAAGCTTGTCGAATAACCTCCAAGAGTTCGGGTTTGGTAGTCCATATATTCAAGAAACGGAAAGGCCGCGGCTTATTGTCTGATTGATCCGCAAAAGAAATCTTCAACGGTGCATGATCTGAAGGATGTCTTGCCAAGTGAATCACAGAAATTACATCTGAAATTTCCAAGCACGACCCATTAATTAGAAACCTATCCAACCTCTTTGAAACTCTGGCTCTACCTCTCCGATTATTAGACCAGGTGAAACTAGTTCCAGAAAAGCCTATATCAAAAACCCCAGCCTCCTCCATGAAAGACATGAAATCCACCCCCTCCGATATTGTGAATGGACGACCACCACTTTTTTCATGAGCAGCTAAGATGACATTAAAGTCACCCCCAATACACCAAGGAAGAGAGATTGGTTTATCATTTAATAAATTGCACCATAAATCTCGACGCTCCTCGACTGAACACTTAGCATGGACAAACGACATGATAATTGGACTAGATAAGAATGAAGACTGAACATGTATTGAAATGTGTTGATCCGAATTACCCACAATGGAACATGCAAAAGGGCTTCTATAAAAAACCCAAATATCACCAGAAAGATTAACAAAGGCATGATCAAATGATAACCTTAGACGGATGGACTCAACTTTAGACACATCTAATTTTGGTTCACAAATCACAGCAAATTGAACACGATGAAATCTTACCAATTTAATCATTCTTCTTAAATTAGGGGATTTAGCTACCCCTCTAATATTCCAAAAAATACCACTAATCATTAGAAAGAACCTGGAATGAGTTTTGGAAAGATGTTGTGGACCGTAATTGTCTATCAGATGGCACAATAATCCGCACACCTTTGCCTCTTGTTTGTCGGCCATTATTGACGTCAACAACAGATTGGTCAATATTTAACGGATTTAATGATGGATCCAAGGACTTGTCACGAGCTTCAACCAGGCGTGGAGATAAAGCGCCAACACCAGTTGGCAATATGACTACATTCGGCATATTGGAAGTGAAGTTGTCCGGCTGGTCCCCACCCAAATCAACATAAAGATTGCTAATTGCATTGGTTTCGGCCTTGTGATGTTGAGCAGCAGCAGCTTCATAGTATTGCTTTGCAATTGATTTGGACTCCTCACGATCATTGCTGTTGAAATTGTAAGTTATTTGATTGTCGGCCATTCCATTTGTTTCGGCCCTTTGCTGCTGTAAATCTGTCAAAGAAGTATCCAATACCAGCTGGGACCCTTCACAATCATTGTTGTTGAAATTGTAAGGTATTTGATTGTCGGCCATGCCATTTGTTTCGGCCCTTTGCTGCTGTAAATCTGTCAAAGAAGTGTCCAAGACCAGCTGGGACCCTTCACAATCATGATTTTGGGTAATGTTTTTCAAACCATCATCCGAAATAGGTTGTGCTTGCCCCACAGCATCCAATGTTTGTTCTTGTAATCCCACATCAGTATCTCCATGTTGTGTCACTAGTATTTCTGCATCAATGGCTTGTTGAACAGATAAAGAAGGCTTCATTGTATCGGCTGTTGTGTTTCCTTCAATGTCATCCACGCCATTTTGTGTTTGTAAACCGACATCAGTATCCATTAATTTGCTTTTATTTTCGAGCTGGACAGATCGTACATTATTCCCCCTTGCATCTGCTGATGTCCCTTCATCCTCAATCATACCAGGAACTGGCACTTCATCAGTATCTTTCCCATTAGTAAAATGCATTTGTTTAGTTACTAGCATTGAGTCCTTGTGGATTTGTGAACTTAAACCATGTTGCAGCCGCTTGGATCGAGGCTCAGTCAAATTTTTCTTGCAGTCGACAGATAAATGACCTAATCTCCAGCAATAAGAACAGTATGACGGCAGATTCTCTGGTACTATCTTTTGCCAAAAACCTGATTCTCCTTCAACAGCTATCCAGACCCTTGGTACAACTTGCTTCGATACATCAATTTCCACACAGACCCTGGCCACACTAGGTCGTGTCCCAGCAGCCGTTGCCGAATCCAAGAACAAAGGTCTTCCTACTGGAGAAAGTATGGAGAACAAAGAATGTTTATCAAAATAATGAATAGGTAAGTTAGGAAGATCTACCCAAACTGAAGCCAGAGATGACTCTTTATGAACATGAAACTCCCTGGTCCATCGGAATACACGCATCGGGTATTTACCCAATTGCCAAATCCCTCTCATCCAAATCCTGTTGAAATCTACTTCAGCGGTGCACTTAATCAAAACATGTCTATAATCCATCAAACCAATGGAAACTTGGTCTTTGAGATTTAGTGAAGAAAAGAATTTGCGAGTATCCTCCAATGAAGGTCTTCCATGAGAAAATTTTCCAACCAAAGTCCATCTAAACGGTGCCGCAAGTTTGTCCACATCTTCTCTGGAAAAAATAACCGCAGCTTCACCCTTGTAAACAGACATATGCTGAATTTTGATAGGTGATGTAGCAGGCTGTGAGAAAAGTTGAGAAAAGGACTTTTTTTCCGTAGGAGACCTTTGCCCCTCAGCCGATGGCTGAAGGGCAGCCATGCCAACTAAGTGATGAAGAAACTAGGCTTTTTAGAGAGAAGGTTTTTAGAGAGAAGGAAGAGAATTAAAGTAAACAGACCGAAATACCTTTAAGGGGTCAAAAATTTGTAAAAGATCACTAAATTGCTAATTCAACAAATGTCCAATCAACAACAAGTACTTAATAAGAATTTTCAACAAAAAAAATCACGTTTTGAATTAATTTGTTAACGTTTCCAAAGTTCAAATACACATCGATGAGCCTAAGTTGTTTAAAGTGGATAATAAGTCTTCAACAAATCAAGGCTTATTTGTAAAGAATACAAAAACTAAAACTGCACAATGAAATTATAAGAAAAGTTTTGGGAACTTACTTATAATTATTCAAAACATCAGGCTCAGAACAAAGTACTAAAAAATTTTTACACTTAAGAGGCAATATCTTGCTCAACTTCGTCTGCTTCAACATTCATCATCACCAACATGACGCGAAGTTCCAGGCTTGCTCTGCATCTTTTCCATTTTTTTTTGACGATTTTCCCTTTCTTGTTGTTTCCTTCCTTCAAATTGGCACCCTTCAACCTTTCTTTAATTTCATTCTTTTTTGCTGTTTTTCTTTTCCCTAATTTTTATTTAGATCTATAGATCTTAGAAAAAGACATTCATAGATATAAAGATCCATTATTTTTCTTCCTCTCTTGCTATTGGTTGGAAGTTTTTCCTTGTGGTTTCAAATGTGTCATTGATTGTTGGGGAAATAAAATTAGGGCTTTAGAGATGAAGGGAATTTAGGATAAAACAAGACAAATCAATAACTAAAAAAAAAAAAAATGGCCACAAAAAAATGAATAAAACACGACTTTTTACCAATTTTTACGGTTTTCGGTTCAACCAATTTTTGATCGAGTTTTTGTTGAGTAGCTTTCTAAGTAGACTTAGACCAAATGCCTAATCTATTCCCAATTCCACTAGTTGAACTTGCCAGTCTACAATATAGTAAAAAGTTATTTTATGACTATAAATTTAAAAACTATGAACTATATATCATTTTTCTCTTTTTCTTTTTGTTTCTTTTCCTTAATGATTTAATCTTGATATTGAATTACAATTCAAAGCAAAATAGTTTAAACCAAATATCTATATGAACCAGTTTTTTGGGGTCTCATGATGACGTGAAAGATAGCAATAGTAAAAATTAAGTCTTTATTCGCTGCAAAACTTGAACCCGATGGGAACCATCTAAGAAGTCCTAATCAACAGAACAACAACAAGAAACCCAGACCAAGAGAAACAAAGGACAAAATAAATCAAAACTCTCCTCGCTCCTTGGTCTATACAGAGTCAAAGGCTTCTGTTCTGAAAAGCACACCATGAAACTTCAGATATTCTTGGATTTACTAAATCATTCATGCTCTGGTGCGTTCTGAAACTGAACTGACGGTATCACGGTGTCTACCGTTCTACATTCAAATTGCAATGAAAAAACATAAAACCAAATATCTTTCTGGAGAAGTAAAACAATCATCTTGATACTGGAGTTGTGAATTCCTTTCAGTTATATACTCCTATCAAACATCTTTCTTTCAAAAGGCAGTTAATCACCATTTCCTAGTCCAAATCAGAAGTCCTGAGAACTATTCTCCCTGTAATGCCAGATCAATCAACAGATACCAAGTCTTGGCAGTAGAGAATGTTTCACCAGAAAGGGATCCTTGACTAAGTCAGGTAGGAGGATAGCAAAATGTTGTACACAAATCAACATGTGCAATTTTGGTATGCCAAAACCATGGTAAGTAGCATACGCAATGAATGTCCCAGAAAAATCATTGAAAGTCAAAGTCAAACCATAAGCACTAAAAAAACGCCCAGATATGTTGCATCTTATAAGCCAATGATAACCCAAAGGGTCTCACATAGATCAAGAATAATCACTCAACAAGAAGAAGAATAATACATTCAAAAAGAAAAAAAACACATGCCAAAAAGGAAATACAACGCACTTGAACAATCAATCAAAAAGAGAACTAATACATGCAACAGAACTCATTTGTGAAAACTGCAGTCAAATCTCAGTATCTTTTTCATTTAATCCAACCTCTAGCAAATCATATCAACTGGATATGGTATAAATTGGGTACTAGTGTTGGTCTTCTCCACACTTACAGGATAGTACACAAATAGTTTATTACGTAATACATGAATATGCAGACCCACTCATATATAATTGTATTACTCAATTTTCAATTTTCAGGTCCGGGATGTGCTTAATTTTGTGCCATTCCTCTCCTCCCCTTTTACACTGTCGTCCTAGTCGGTAGCAGCGAAATATAGTCAAATGTTGGAGTGTCGTCATCTTTTGAATGCTGGATGGAAGTGTTTCAAGCGGACAATATTTTAGTGTCAGGTCTTGAAGAGAAGTGAGGTGGTCTCCAAACCAGTTTGGCAATGAAGTTAGATTGGAAAAACTCTCCAGCTCCAGTTTTTGTAGTGCAGGCAAATGTTTGACTTCCTCTGGCAGAGCTGTCGCGTGTGACCCATTGATGCATAGACGAGTCAGGGATTTGAGGGCTTTAGTCCCCATTGAGAGACTCACCAAATTATAGCATTGGACCAAATCCAGTTCCTGCAAAGAAGCAAGGCCTCGCAATCCTTCTTCTGGCAGAGACTCCAGCTCGGGACAGTGCTTGATGGTCAATTCCTTCAAAGCCGTGAGATTGGAGATTGAAGCCCATGCCATGTTCGGGCAGCTGTCGACGCATAACTCCTTTAGGGACAGCAAACGTGGCAGTGGCAATGTCAACATTGGGCAATCCTTAAAGGACAGGGATTGAAGTTGAGAGAATACCCCTGGAGTACCTTGGACTTCTCTTCCTAACATTCCTTTTAGGTTGGGCATGTTCTCTAACTCCAGCTGTTTCAACGAAGATGGGGACATTGCAGCACCAGCCCGAACTATGTACTCTGCTGCACTCTCGTGCACAACAACTTCTGTTACAGTTGAAATCCAAGATGGAAATGATGAACCGTTGAAGCCTAGGACACGTAGCAGTTGAAGGTTGGGCCGGGGTTTGAGGGCTTCGAGCACTTCCTCATCATTGTACCGTTGAAGCGTTCTTTCGAAATCCCAATGCAAATTCAACTCGCGGAGACTCTGTTTTTTAATTAAGCAAGCTTCTTCTGCATCCTTTTTGTCTTCAATCCTCTCAAGGTGCATAATTGTTAGCCCTCCTCTAAGCATATTTAAGTCTCGCAACTCACTTAGTCGGAAGCCTTTCTTGCCACTCAGGACGACCATACCCAACGTCCGCAGGCAAGTCAACTTCCCAATTCCACTTGGCATGTGAGTCAAACTCCAACACCCATGTAGACAAAGATGTCGAAGATTTCTGAGGAATCTCATGCCCTTGGGTAGACTCAGAAGAATGAGAGAATCATTTAGGTTTAAAATTTGCAAATTCCACAAGTCACAAATTGAATTGGGTAGTTCAACAATTAAAGATCTTGAAAGATCTAGATGCCTTAAATGTTTCAGTTTGCTTATTGCATGTGACAACTTCGTAAACTCTTCTTGGGTAGACTCCATTGACTTTACCATGAGAGCCCTCAGGGAGCCACATTTTGACAAGAAAGAAGAGTACTGGTCAATGCCTGTGATTGTAATAGGAAAAGCCACTGTTAGCTGATCATCTGGCATACCTAATATCATGGTTCTATTTGACTCTGTTCCACCGTGTTTAGCCTTCATTACTGATCGAGCAAGATCATGGACAAGGTCATGCATCTTAAAAGTGAGGGCATTGCCAAATTCATCTTCCTTTACTGCTTGGAATAGTGATCTATAATATAGTTCAGTCAGCACAGCAACACCAACATCTTCCACTTCCATGGTTTCATTAGATGAAATCAATCCATTTGCCAGCCACAAATGTATTACCTCTTCTATTTCAATTTCATAGCCCTTGGGAAATGCTGCACAATATGCAAAGCAACCTCTCAACTCTACTGGAAGATTAAGGTAGCTCAATCTCAACGCGGGCAAGATATGTGTTGTATCTTGAGGTAAGTTCCAAATTTCACTGCATTTCACGGAGTTCCATTCATTTTCTTCCCTTTTAAATCGTAGAAAGCCTCCAAGAGCCTTTGCAGCCAGCGGAACACCACCACATTTTTTCACAATCTCTTTTCCAATAACTACAAGGTTAGGATATTCTTCAGCCTCTTGACGGCCAAATGCCCGTTGCCTAAATAGTGACCAACTCTGATTCTCTGACAAACTCGACAGATAATATGTTTGTAATGTGCCAATTATTGTGGCAACCTTCTCCATGCGAGTTGTCATGACAATTGAACTACCTTTTGATCCGCATTCCAGAACAGATTTCAGTTTCTCCCATTCCTCTGGATTCTCATTCCAGACATCATCCAGTACAATCAAGTATCTTCTCTCTCTCAACAACTCTTGAAGCTTTCTTTGGAGAGTATTCAAGGCTAAGTCCCCAGTAGAAGTCTTTTCTACAGACTCAATTAAGGCTTTTATAATCCTTTTCACATCGAAATCCTCTGAAACCCAAACCCAGAGTTTTGGCTCAAAATGCTTGGCTATGCGTTCATCATTGAACACCAATTGGGCAAGTGTTGTCTTTCCAAGGCCTCCAACACCCTGAGTTCATTTACCGTGGATCCAGTCTCACGGCTTGCATTGAAATAGCTCCCACGCTTCTGATCACTCAAACCAAGATCTTTTCGCTCATTAGCTATTGCATTAAATTTATCAAGGATATCCTTCATCCTTGTCCCAATCCTGTGTCGAAACCATATGTTTGATGTTGCTGGAAGACAATCCAATACATTGCAACATATGTTGTTGCACTTCGGTTCTCTCGAGACTTCAGTTGCATAATCATCTAATATGTCATCGACTTCATAAGCAATAAGATTGAGCTTCTGCAGCCAAAGTTGAATTGCCTTGTCAGTAAACTGCTTCTGCTCGGCATCTTCAATCACTGCTTTGGTTGTTGATAGCAAGCTTGAAAGCTTTTGTATCTCTGTTTCAATACCACAAAGCAATCTAAGCTCCTCCTGGATTATGGGAGAATTCAGAATTTTTACCAGACTTTCCAATAACGCTTCCATCAAGTGTGACCTGAAAATTACGAATAATGGAAGGGAAGTGGACTTTAATTAAGTTCCTAGGGGCAAGGACAGGGATGTCAAAAAGAAAAGGGCAAAAAATTTTTTTTGTTACAAAGTAAATGTAGAAAATGCTCGATATCATCAAATGCAAGAATGAAATGTTTTAAACCTTATGATAAAAAAAAAAATAAAAAAAGGTTCTCATATTAGACAGCCATCAGTCACCTGGCATATTAATCCCAAAAACAAAAAAAAAATGGTTGCAAAACCCAGAAAAAATCTGGTAAAAGATAGACTAAAATTAATCAAAATCTGAAGAGATAAGAAAATTCTATGTATGGTCTCTTCAGACAATTATTCCTACAATTTTAGTTGTTAAGAAATGACAGTGGTTCAAATTTTAAAATGATTGAAAATATTACAATCTAAGAGTCTAAAACAATTATTATTTCACCATCCAATGGTGAATTTAATTTGAGAATATGACCAGAAGGACTCTTAAAATCTGCCGAAAAGATAACCGAATAACATTACCTTTATCAAGTTTAAATAATTAAATATTTTACCCTTCTCATTTCTTTCATGAAATATAGCATTCAAAATAATTATGTACAAAGAAACACGGGTAATGTACAAAGTACTTTTTGCAATGGAGACGGCCCATTTTAAGTTTATAACGGACAAAGTAGGTAAGGGGTCACTATTTGTTATTGAAGAAAGAAAAGTAGAGTGAAATTGCTTGAGTTTCCTGGCCGTTGTTGACTTAGAGAAAGTACATGACTACAAGATACTTAAAAGTAAATTTTACTTTGAACCTAAATTTTACTTTGAACCCTTAGACGGTAGATACATTCCACTCAATTTTTAAACTTTAATTTTAGAAGCTTTACCTCCTAAAGTTTAAAATACATTGTACTTTGGTTTTGGATATTTTACTTTCTAAAATAAGAAATCCATTCTACGAAAATATCAAAATTAATAAAATAGTAAGCAAGTTATGCTTAAAATTTAAGAATTAAAACTACTTCCTCTGTCCCAAGAATCGAGACATGCACTTTTCATATTCTTCTAGGCTTAATCATTGTTTGAACTTGAAAATTAGCAAACTAAAAACAAAAGGTCATGGAACTTGTGAAATTGTGCATGTGTTATGGTGGGTCATAGTAATTATTTATTATTAATTAATGGAATCTTGTCATTATTACTCAAGGGTATAAAAGAAAAGTAGCATTGAAAGTTGTTTGACTTTTGCAACAAGACTCTTATTTTGGGATAACAAAAAAAGTGGAAGCATGACATTAATAATGAAAAAAATGGAGTAGATAAATTTCATATTTTAGGGATAGAGTAGCGAGAGAAGGGTGGATTTTATATTAATAGGGTAAAGTATTCAAAACTAAATTTCAATGACTAGGGTGAGAGTGAGTCTATAACTTAAGAGAGTCCAAAATGGAATTTAGCGAGTTAAAATTTCAAGGGTAAATAGTATTGAATCGGTGAAATTTCCTATTCACCAAGTTGAAAATAGTGCTACAGTTGTTCGATGATAGATCAAGGCTTTCTAGTTCCATATTTGTTCATACTAGGTTTAATAACACTTTGGCACTCCGAACTAAGGGGGTAGACACATCTACTCCTTTAATCTCAAAAATATAACATTTTACAGCCCCCATGACAACTAGTCAAAGTTAAAAATACAAAAAAATAGTGTAATGACATTATTATCCTTTTATTCATGAACTTATCTATAACTAATAATCATTTACTTTCATTGCTAAAAGATTTACATCTTCTTTATCACATCAATTGTAGAAAAATATCAACTAAAAAGAGTTAAAATAGTTAATATTTAGTTTATACTCTTGAAACTTTTTTCATTAGATCAATGTTCACTTTTTTATATGTTTTATTCAATTTATTAGACCTTAAGTTCAAACTGGTGGCCACGCTTGGGCGCGTCCTCAAGGTGGATTCGGCAACCTCAGATTTGCGCAGGCCATCTGTGGCAAGAGTTCTGGTGGAGATGGATGTATCCAGAGAGCCTGCAAAGCGGGTCTACATAGGGGATGACGACTATGGCTTTTGGCAACCGGTGGAGGTGGAGAACTGGCCAGCATTCTGCAAATTTTGTGATCGGGGAGAACTGGCCAGCTTCGGAGATGCAGCTGGCGGTGGCCCAGAACGAGCCGTGGGTTCCGGACAACTTGTGCGCTGGATCAGCGCCACGCATACAGAGGGACGAAGCCAGGCCTGGTGCGGCTGCAGCTGTGCAGTCGCGGGCTGTTACTAATATTGGGGAACTTACGGTAGAGCTTACCTGTGAGGCCAGTCAGGTAGCGGAGTTGGGGAGTGCAGGAATGGTGGCTGGGCCAGTACAAAGACCTGAGCTGCGTCGGGAGCCCTGGGGGACAGTGAGTGAAGGGGAGGAGGAAGAGGAGACGAATAGACTGGATTTGGGGTGTCACTCGTGCATGGGGGACACCGTGCTCAGGCTGAATATCGACCAGTCCAGAGTGATGGATCACGGCACCAAGCAGACGAAGAAGAAAGGGGTGCGGGTTCCGGGCCCGTCGGACAGGTAGCTTCGATCTGCGGTAATGCCCTCTCAAAATTCTTCCCTACCTTTTCCCCATGATTAATGGTTTATTTTGGAATATAAGAGGGGTTGCGAAACCTCCCAACCTCAGACGCTTGCTAAAGTTAATTCGTATACACAATTTAATGTTTGTTGCAATATGTGAGCCCAAACTGGATGTGTCACGTATTGATTTAATTAAAGTCAGATTGCCCTTTGATTCGGTAGTTGTGAACCTGTCAGCTGATATATGGGTATTTTTTAGTACTCCATTAGTGTGTGCTGTAATAGGTAGTTCAGCCCAGCACGTCACGATATCGGTCCAGCATCCTTGGATGGATGGGTCCCTGTGCTTTTCGTTTGTGCACGCCAAATGCTCCTTGGGGGAGCGGAGGGTGCTGTGGCAGGACTTAATGGCTGATAAGCCCAGCTCGAGGTCATGGTGCGTGTGCGGAGACTTTAATGTCATTGCGGACCCAAGTGAGAAGCGAGGAGGTAGGCCTTTCGCAGGATCTGAGGGGTTGGAGTTATTGTCATTCATGGAGGGGGTTGAATTGTTTGATGCGGGGTTCTCGGGATCCAGTTTCACTTGGTGTAATAACCGGAGAGGGCACGCACGTATCTGGAAGAGACTGGACAGGGTGCTAATCATTGGTGAGTTTTCTGAGAGTGCTCCGTCGATCTCGGTGGTCCACTTGGCCCGTCATCCATCGGATCATGCGCCGCTGAAGATCTCGCTGACATCGCGAATGGATAACAGGCCGAGGGCATTCCGGTTTTTAAATGTTTGGACGTCGAATCCAGGACTGTTGGATGTCATTCGCCAGGCTTGGCAAGTAGAGACCTCGAGCTCCCCGTTAAAGATACTATGCTCCAAGCTGTTGCGTACCAGGCGTGCCATCCAGGGCTGGAATAAGGGAGTTTTTGGGAATGTGTTTGAGGTTGTTAAGCGGGCGGAAGCCAATGTGCTAGCAGCAGAAGCCCGCACGGAGCAGGATGACTCGATGGAGGCGCAGGTTGAGCTGAGTAAAGCTCAGGCTGAGCTACGACACGCGTTGTTAAATGAGGAAAAGTTTTGGAGTCAGAAGGCTAGGGTAAAGTGGCTTCGATACGGAGATCGAAATTCAAGATATTTCCATGCCACGGTTCAGCAACGGAGGGTGCAGGGTGCGATTCATAGAGTGAAGGATGAGAATGGCGTATGGGTTGAAGATGACGAGGGGATCGCCAATGAGGCTGTGCGATTCTTCTCGGATTTGTTCTCGGCCTCCGGGGGGTCAGCTGGTGATTGGGAGCATTTAATCCCTCATATGGTGTCACAAGTAGACAGGACGGCTCTTGATGCGGATCCAACTAGGGAGGAGGTGAAACGGGTGGTATTTGAGATGGATGGGGATAGTGCTGCAGGCCCTGATGGCTTCACAGGTCAGTTCTTTACTTTCGCTTGGGATGTTATTGCACAGGATGTTTATAATGCTGTATTGAGTTTCTTTTGTGGGGCGGAGCTGCCTCGCTTCGTAACTTCTACATCCATTGTTTTAATTCCCAATGTGCCAAGCCCCCAGGACTTTTCTAAGTATAGGCCGATTAGTTTGTGCAATTTTTTCAACAAGGTGCTCTCTCGAATTTTGGCGGATAGGTTAGCAAGTATTTTGCCCAAGATTGTGTCTCCGCAACAGACGGGGTTTGTCAAAGGCAGGAACATAACAGAGAATTATCTTCTTGCTCAGTAGCTTATGTCAGGGATTAGGAAAAAGGCTAGGGGGGGAAATGTAGCGCTAAAATTTGACATGGCAAAGGCGTATGATCGTGTATTGTGGATATTCATTGTCAGGGTATTGCGCAAATTTGGATTTGGTGAGAGGCTCATTGACATGGTTTGGAGGTTAGTGTCGAATGTTTGGTTCTCCGTCATCATTAATGGGGCATCTCATGGTTTTTTCAAATCGAGTCGTGGGATCCGTCAGGGAGATCCGTTGTCACTAGCCTTATTTGTCATTGGCGCGGAGGTATTATCCCGGGGGCTCAATAGTCTTGCTGCACAGTCGGGTTTCTTAGGTTTCACAGTACCCAGGGGTTGTCCGTCGGTCACCCACTTGGCTTTTGCGGATGATGTGCTCATTTTTGCTAATGGTTCTTCTAGCTCTTTGAAGGAGATTATGCGGGTATTGGACATGTATCAACTGGCCTCGGGGCAGTTGGTGAGTGCTCAGAAGAGTGGGTACTTAGTGCACCCGTCGGTGTCTCCCGCCCGGCGGAGGGTAGTTGAGCGGATTACCGGCTTCTCTAGGCAGCATTTCCCTGTCCGGTACCTGGGTTTCCCGTTATACATTGGCAGGTGCAAATCCTTGTACTTTGGGGAGGTGTGTCATGCTATCTCGGCAAGGATTCTTTCTTGGCGGTCTAAACTTTTGTCGTCTGGAGG